GACATAAATCTGGCACCTCTGGTCTGATGCGACATATCTGCACAGTTCTCTGTGGTCAAAGCAAGCTCTCGTTCCCCCATTAAGCACTTCCTGCTCACGTTAAGCAAGAAACTACAGAAAAATGTGTCGCACTTTGCTGTAAAGACATTAGACCATATGACTTCGTTGCCGGGAAAGGCTTTGTTGACATAGTTCAGCACTTTGTTAACGTAGCCGCTAAATATGGTACATTTGATGTGAGAGATGCTCAAGTCTGGGACCGCAGTCAGTCAGCAATATACTTTTCCTTCATAGTAATATGGAGTAAGCAAAGCAAGGCCCAGTGATCAAATTCATTTGTTTGTTTAGTAGTCTACGTTATTTAAATTTTTTTTGTATTTAAATTTTTTTTTTGCAATAGCCTGTTAAGCAAGCTATTGTGAATGTGAAATCGGTGAGATATTTTTTTAAGCATTCTATTTATTTTATTTAGTTTTGTATTTAATTTGTTAAAATTATATCTAGCCTATTTTCAAAGTTCTCTGTTTATTTATTTGATGTTAAAGTTATTTCCTAGTTAATTGTTTGGTGCGTGTGTATGCAGTAGGCCTAGCCTGCGTTTAAAAACTGAGGTGCCGCTAGTTGCTGTTTTGTTTTAACGGTTAATGTTTTATAAGCTAATAAAAAAATACCCAATGTTTTTGTCATGTGTGGTGCTTTGGTTTAGCATTGGTTACTTCATCTTATTTAAACGCAATCATGTTTAAAGTCTGTTATTCTGGATGTTAACTTGAACCAATATTTAGTTTGAGTATGTGTGTAAATTTTTCACAAACTCTGAGATAAAGTCTGCGGGAGTGGACACAAACATTGCGGGCGCGGGCGGGAGTGGAACACACAGGTTGCAGGAGCGGGCAGTCCTGGTCATACATTCAGCGGGAGCGGGCGGGTGCGGGTTTAAGAAAACAGTCCCGCGCAGGGCTCTAAGACACAGTTCCTTTTTTCTGCATTATTAACTCTCTTACCAACTTCTAAGCCTGTTCATCTTTCCACAGACTAACAGATTCATCTGTACCCACACACACATATGCTGCAAATGAGACTGTGCACCTCATATGGTTATGTTTGAACAATTATAATCTCATATGAAGGAGATACAGAAGAGAGAACCCACACTAATAAAGCATCTGTGCAAGACATGACAACAACTCTCGAAGTAAAACACACACACTCACCTAAAATCACAACAGCCTACTATTAATCTAATAGTATGTGATCCTTTTGTGTAAAATGTTTTAACTTCTGGCAGTCCTGCAAAACAATAAGTGAAGAATAAGGCATAAAACCTGCAAAAATCCAATATTTTTAACCATGATATCCTTCTTGACCTTTTGACGATTGTCAAAAGATATTTTATACAATATTCAATTGGATTAAAAAATTGATAAAAATATTAGGACTGTCAGTTTAATGCATTAACTTAATTAATTAGTTATGAAAAAATGACGTGATTAAGATATTTTAACGCAGTTAACACACTGGCCCCGCCCCCAGACCAGTACATCATCTTACATTTCATACAGTTGACTGTTGACAAACATGATGCAGGACAATTCCATAAATGCAGTTATGCCCTAAAATGCAAGTATGATGCCCCTGTATGAGATTGTGTCTCATATTTACGTCACGATAAGCGATAGCACAAAAGCAGAGAGAGCAATAGCACACGAGTGCTGTTTTTGCACGAATAGCAAGAGTGCAAATGTGATTTTATACAACAGTTCAGTGAATAAGAAGTTAATATTGTGTTTTTGCTAAATTTTGCCAACGAAAATATTACCTATAAAGCCACTGCAGAACTGTTGTGCGTCTGTGAGCAACACAGCGGTGTGTAGTTTCTGAATGAATCCTCGTTTTGAACGAATTGTGTGAACCAGTGTTTCAAAGGCCCATTCATAGAGACAGCCGTTTACCTAATTCCTGAATGAATCAGCCGTTTGAACGAATCAAACTAATGAATGACTCAAAGACATTTAACGCCACCTGCTGGCAATTTTATATTAGAGCATCATTTCACCATTTAAAAAAAAAAAAAGTTAAATAAAGAAACATTAAAGGGATATTTCACCAAAACATAAATGATGTTATAATTTACTCACCTTCATGTAGTTTCAAACCTGAATGACTTACTTTCTTTTGCACAACATAAAATAAGTTATTTTGAAGACTTGGTAACAAAGCTGTTTTGGTTACCAGTGACTTTCATTGGATGAAAAAAAGAAAATAGTAACAAATAGATGTTTCTCAGATTATCTTCTTTTATGTTTCATATTATGTTAGGCCGTTGTAGCCTAAACGTTTATGTGAAATTAATTTTATGTTGAATCAAATCAAATATTTATTTCTAAAGCTACTATTTGTAATATCTACTTGACACTTTCTAATTTAACACAATAATAGTTTTAAATAATCTTTTGTGGGTATATCACAGCCAAATTTAATTTGCGATTAGATTAATTACCATATTGGCCCGAATATAAGACGACCCTGATTATAAGACGATCCCCCTTTTTCCAGATGTACCTTTTGGAAAAAGTCTTTTTAAAAACCAAATCTTGTTTTTTCTCAGTAAAACACATTTTGTCTTCAATTATTTTCATATTGCATATTTTTCCTATTTTCATTTTTGTTTTGAAAACTTTTTGATATACCATTAAAAAAAAAAAACAGGTAGCCCATCTGAATTAGGACATTTAGGCTATTCATCTAATAGTAGCCTACCAAAATCTTATTAACAGTAGAAGTAGAGTTGGTCCCATCAGGCTAACGTGACAGTCACAACTCATGCAGCTGTAAGGTTTTCTTTCTCTTTTGTTTTTACTCGGGATCTTTACAACACGCATTACATTACGTATTTCATGGCACACTCGTTTTATGCGTATTTGGCGCCACCTATTGTTGTGGGTGTATTATTGACATGTCAAAGTCTAGACCCTGAATATAAGACGACCGCGTTTTTTCAGATGTATTTCCAAGAAAAAAACATTATCTTATATTCGGGACAGTACAGTAATCACCACACCATGTAATTAATTAGATTTAAATTTTTAATCGACTGACAGCCCTGAAAAATTTACATAATGTTACACAATAATATATAAAAATTTAGTAATGTATTAATATATATATATATATATATATATATATATATATACAGTATATAGTTTTTCCCTATTAAAACTAAATTTCAAAAGGGTATTAAATTAAACTGAAATTTAAACTGAATTTCATTCTCTCGGGCTTGTGTTGTTTTTTCAAATCAGTTGCATTGTGATGCAACACTAGATGCTTTAATTGGGTCCGGTGATGACATTCTCTTTAGAGTCTAAATAACTAGTTTCACAGTCTAATGGGGTCTGATAACATGTGGTCATCTCAGGTCATGATTGGGCAGGTTTGTGTTTGAAATGAGAGGACTGCGCTACTTTATTAAATGCAAGATTTGTAGCGAGGCCGTTCAGCAGGAACACATGTGACTGGAGGTTTGTATTGAGTCGGGTCAAGAGTGTGTGCGTGCGCAGATATTTGTAAATATGTGATCTTTGCCCCTCTGCTGTGGTAATGAGATGCAGTTGTTATCTTGATATTGGAGCTCTAGTGAAGACGCATCCGTGTTTAATACAGCAATAAGCTACTGGAGGCATTACAGCAATTACAAAAATACTAAAGCAATAGTTCTACAAAAAATGAAAACTGTCATAATTTCTTCATGTCATCATCAAGTCAGACTTTATTTCTTCTGTGGATCACAGATGATGTCAGGCAGAATGACAGTCTCAGTCATCATTCACTTTCACTGAGTGGATAAAATAATGCAACAAAACAACAACGATAAAGTCATGTAAAAGGTTTGCACGTGTGTTTTATGTTTCCTATCATATTTGATCCATCAAGCTTTTATGGCTCATATAGTATGATTTGATACTAACAAATTTGATACTCTCTGATTTTTCTAAAAAATGATCAAGTAAATCGAATCTGCTTCAGTCTATCAAGTGTTCATCATGAAATATCAAAGTTATTCTTATGTTTACTTTAAAAAAAAATAACTAACTAAAGATTTGACAGCAAAAAGACAAGCACAAGCTGAAGGTGGTCGTTTGAACAGTTAAACTAAAAGACCTTTTACTTGCTAAAAAAAAGTCTAAACTATCAATCAGACGACAGAAGGCAAGTAGTAGATTGTGTGCAACAGGTTTAACAGCAAAGTTTTGATATGTTGATCAATTAGAACTTAGGCTTTATAGGGTTAAGGGATGTTGTTAGTCATGATGTGAACAATCTCACATCACGTATTTGCCATGTGAAGATGTAACACATTAGGTTGGCCCTATATGATGCCAATTGAGGGTTAAGAGCTACAGCAGTGACTATTCACATGCGCACACAGTATGCGTGTGTGTGAGCAGCATGATTAAACTAGCAGTCATATGCGTGTGTCACACTGTCAGCTGTAGCTGTGAAAGCCTGACAGGATGTTGTGCACGAGAGTGAGAACTCTATTACCACACAGACACACACTCTTCACACTCACTCTGTGCCACTTGAGAGATGGAAGTAATTCTGAGTGCCGGAGAGCTGCAGACACAGAGATGAGCTCTTTTTCCTGCTCTATAAACTGAGAGTGATGACCTGTCTCTGCCTTCCACTTCAAAACAAACTCATGAGTTCAGGCCCACCTGAGACCCGCTACCACTGTGTATGTGTGTTCAGATTCACTGTCACACACACAATGACTGTAGACTGGATGGTGGACAGCAGTAGAACGCTCAGCCACCAAAAAACAAACTACTGAAACCATGGGCGTCATTGTATTCGGGTGGGACAAGACCAACCCACTTTTTAAGACCAATTTTATTGGACCCACTCAATTTTACCATCTCTAATTCAGCGCATTAGTCTGTTCATTTTTCAGAGCACCGTCAGTCAAATCTATTACACTTGAGGAATGCCCTAATAACTTAAACTCCATTCCGCGTTTTACCTACAGCCTTGACTTCCACGCTGCTGCTTCCTCAAATCCATTCCACTCGGCTCATTCGGAGTCCATTTAAATTAAACTCCATTCCGTGTTTTCAGTACTTGTGCCTGCAGCACAGCAAGCTAAAGAAAGCATCTTAGCATCTCTGCTGCTCAGGTGAGTCTGGCTGTATGCTCACATACTGTCACTAAACAAGCTGCTGTTTAACTGAATGTCCATCATTTATTCGTCTGTTGCTTTGCATCATGTAGTCTTTGTTGCAGCATTGCATTACAGTTACACTTGCACTATGTTGTTATAATGCTAACAGTTATCTGACATTTTTTCAAAACAACTTACTAGACATTTGTTGCTGTGTTAATTTTTGGGAAACCTTGCCATGTATGTGGTAACCGTTTTAGGCTATAAAAGCAATTGTTTAAAAGGCACCAGAATACAGGGAATGGCATCTACTCCAGTAAAAAAATGTACTTCTCACAAAGTAGCTTTACTTGATCATATTTTAGAAAAATCAGAGAGTATCAAATTTGAGGAGCATTTATTTGTTCATCTCTCAATAATCATTGTCTGGCACTGCATTGTGTTTTGATCATAAACTAAGCATTTAAATATCATCTTACTAAGACATATTATTGGAGATATAGAGTGACGACTGAAATTCATATAATTTTATGTAAGTTTTGCCTCCGACTCTTCATAACTTTTGTTAATGCATTTGACATTTTTAACCGTTTCATCTCACAAAGTAAGACTAAACAATATATAAAAGTTTCTGTGACTGTACAAAGTGCATTTATATTCAATGACATAAGCATTTTTCATACCAGTACAAGAAAATATGATTTCAGTCTTTCTACTTTGAACTACTTGCCATTTTTGTGTAGTTATTTGTGAAATTTACTAGCTAGTTTCAATCCTACATTTATTTTATTTTTTTCAAGTATAATTTGTTGGTTGTTTAACACCTCATTATAACATTCAATTCACATCAGGATTATGAGAATGATTTTTAAAATCCTGATTTTGAACTGAACTTGAATTAAGGCAGCAAACAGAAATCAGAATTCAAATGAGGAAGTAGAATGAACGAAATTTCAAATAAATTCATTTAACCCCAAAAAGTATATATTCTTTTGTTATTTTTATTTTTTCACAAGAAAAAGGAAAGCTTCTCAGAACAGACTTTGAATGTTGACATGATAGTCTTGTTTAAATGTTTAAATGTAGTGTGTACTATTGTTCTTAGGGCATCCCGAGTTCGATACCTGGCTTGTGAATATACATATATAAATATAG